CAGTGAATATATAAATTTGAACATAATCGGTCAAGTCATGTCAGAAATACAGCTCTAGAACCGCATTCGTTAAAATTAAATTGCCACCAGTCAGCCATTCTGAATCCGATTTGAAAAATAAAATGACATGCATCAAGGTCCCATAATGTCCAACGTATGTACCAAGTTTGAACAAAATCCTTCCCTAAATTTTTATTTTTATGATTTTTCAGCACAAGAAAGGTTGCCATTCAGTCAAACCAAAGATCTGTATATCTATGACATGATCTATAATGAATATAATCAGTCAAAGCATGGCAGAGATATGGCACTAGAACTGCATTCATTAAAACAAAATGGCCACCAGTCAGTCATTTTCAATTCGATCTGAAAAAAAGAATGGCAAGCATCAAGGTCCCATAATGTCCAACGTATGTACCAAGTTTGAAGAATATTCATCTATAAATTCTTGATTTAGATGATTTTTCAGCACAAAAATAGCGGTCTACGGCCATCTTGAATCAGATGGTGAAACAAATTGATGTGCATATGTATACCGGGGGTAATATAATGTATGATGTATGTGTGAAGTTTGAATGTAATCAGTCCAGACAGGTCTAAGATATCGATGCATGCATGAACACATGGATGCAGAGATCAACCATAAGTCCCCGTTTTCAGACTGTGTCAGAACAGGGACTAAATATGGCTCTGGAACAGCGTTTGTTAAAAAAAAAAGAGTGCCAGTGGGTCTCAATTTTCAATGTATGTATTAAGCAAAATTCATCCATACATGAATGAAATGGCAGAAATGCTTGATTCAATATATTCATTAACATGTCATTGTCAATGATATACATGTAGTCCCCATAATGTATGATGGAATTCATAATGTCGACTGATGTGTATGAGATACGGCTCTGTGGAATTGCATTCATTTGGCTGCCAGTCAGCCATTTTGGACTCAATCCGAAAAACAAAATGATGTAAATCAAGTTTCAATTGTGTCCAATGAAGGTATCAAGTTTAAATGAAATCCATCTATACATGAAATAATGCATTGTGTTTATGTATGACAACCCCCTTAAATCCTGCATAAAAGTATTCAAATTGAAGCAAAATGACCACGATACTGAACCATCAAAACACATAATTATGTTGAATGACTTTCTGCTTTGGCAGGAGTTACTGTGCACAGAAACGTGAACTTGTCACACCTTTGCTGAGATTGCAAGAGACATTTTTAAAGTTTTGGGAAAATGAGGAATAAAATGGCATGTCTTAACACATTCGTCAACCGATGTAGGTATTCCAAAATAAGTCAAATGAGGTGTACTGAAGTCACTGCCTCAGCCAAAAAATTCCACTAAACAGCGAAGCACTGACTTCTTGAAACAACCATTCAAAATGAAAATGAAAAATTCATCCTGCCAATGATGGTTATTATGTATGACATCATACATTGTACTTATGATATGCAATGTGTTTTTATGTATGACATCACACATTGTACTTATATGCATTGTGTTTTTATGTATGACATCATACATTGTACTTATGA